AGACCATTGGTTTCAGGGGGAACTTATATGAGAAATCTGAAATTGCTCATTGCTCAAGGAACCCATAGAAGCCTGTAGAGAACAGTGGGGTTCTACAGAACGCTGGTTGAGCTAGGCAGGGATTATTATAGACAATGCAGTTTCTTCTACCACTAGTTCTTTCCATCCACAGATAGGTACAGTATTTTCCTCCAGAACCAATATTTAATTGTATCCTTCATTATGGAGAGACTACCGCAGCTCAAAAAATGAAAAGCCAACAACAATGCACACAGTGTAACATTATATCACTTGTTGAATATGCTTTCCCTCTAGAAGTTTTCCGTGTATAATGGGATTTTAGAGCTGTAAGTTAAAAAAACACCCAGTGAGTAATAGTTTCTGGACTGGCTAGTTTTGTTCGGCGATCCATAAATGACAGGGCCAATTTAGCTGAATGGCCTTTTAAAAGTTCGCTTAGCTCAGGTGGCAACACCACAATATGGAAACACAGGCAGCCGTGCAGAATATCATTAATGAGAAAAGTAGAAGCCTGGCAAGGCTCGGTATTTTTAGACTTTTAAATGACTCCCTTGCTCTTTTTCTTTTAAATCTACTGTTCCGTTAAGGGCAAGAAACAAGAACAGCTGAAATATTAAGCCTTCCTGAGGTCAAAATTGATAGCTGCCCAAAGCACCATGGAGTCTAGGATTACCATGGCAACCACAATACCATAGTAACCTCAGACACTAGAGATCAGGGAGGAAAAATTGTTAAAGGCCTGAAAGAACACTGGGGACAAAATATGCACTTTCTGTGTGTAAAACTCATACATACTTCGATTTAAAAATGCAGCTTCTCAGACTGCTGGTATATAATAGAAGAAGGTGCTGTAACATTGCCATCACTTCAATTTATCTTCTCTGGAAGTCTGCCTGCTTCGCTTGCCTAGTTCTGTCTGCCAAAAATATGTGTAACTATTAGAATTAACATCTAAACAACTTGTTTGTTGAGAATTGAGCCAGGCACTTGGGAGTTGACGAGATATGATATAGATATGGCTTTCTGGAAACACAAAGGCATGATTTATTTGGACAAAGTCACGGTGGATTTTAATAACTCGCATACACACTGTGGATGGAGGAAAACTTGGAGTTGGTTCAATGAGATGTCAGTCTATTGCCTTTTGCCCCGTTTCTGTTATTTAGACATTCTGCATATATTTTCTCTGGCCTTATAACACACTTTTGGGACCTAAAAATAGGCCTTAAAGATTCTCTTTCAGAGGAAAACATACAGTGGATGAACAGAATTGGCTTAAGGTGTCCAATACAAAGGTGAATGGGTCAAGGATTATCCCCTTCTTACACAATTTATGGGTAACATGACTCTGAATTGTTCTGAGGTGTCCCATGAAAAGGTGAATGGGTCTAATATTATCCCCTCCTTATACAACTCATGGGTAAAGTGACCCATGAGTCACAATATCCAGTTCAAAAAAGAAACAATATGCTTTTCTATCTGGTGGCTCATGTCTTCAAACTCCACTGTTTTGCTACTCTCTGGCCATTGCACATTGTGTTTGTACTGAATACCTGCTTCCCCTGCCACATGCTTTGGTTCCTCCCACCAACCTGTAGCGGAGTATGGCATGTGGCAGGGGAGCAGATATTCCACACACCAGAAAGTGTGGACTACCTGAAGCAGTGGCATTTCAACACACAGGACCCTGAAAAGGTAAGTATATTAGGGGGAATTTACTAGCATTGGAGAAAACAGAATCTGCAGCAGCTGTGCATAGCTTCCAGCTTACAACATCAGCTTCTTCAGTTCAGGTAGACTTAAACCCTCTTATCCTTAAAGAAGTGTTAAACCCATCGATTTAACTGCTTCCCAACACAGTTCCAATCAAGGCAAGCCATGAATAATAACTGTAACAGTGGCTGTATGTTCTCAACAAAACTGTCAAGCCTTCAAATGGCTGGTGTCATAACTGATCACATGTGCAACACCATGGGAACTGCAGATCAAACAGAGACTAAGATGTCAGCTTCCTTGTCTTTAACAGATACAAAAGTTTAGTTCCGTTTTCCCAGCTAAAGTAAGCGGCCAACTTAGCCACTGTTTGATCTTCCATGGTGCTGTAAATGTGATTAGTTATAACAACAGCCACCAAATTTGGAGTTGGAGAAACTCCCACCATCCCCCAACGGGTGCGGAGAACACATTATATTCGAACAGTGGGACTCAGTGGCTGTAGCTGATTGACACATTTTTGCAGCATGTCCTGGCCACACACCACACACTGATCAGAATGCAGCTAGTGTTTGGCCTGTTTACGACACAAAGCCTGGACCTTTAATATACAAGGTCCATTGTGTCAATGTAGGCATTAATGTCAATTAAAGATACCTACAAGTAGCTGTACAGAGATTTCCATTACTACCATCAAACTGAACATTTTTTATTAGACTCAATGTGTACTGTTCTTGAAGAGTCAAATGTGTGCCTATAGCTAACGTAAAATGTTATTAGAAATAGTGGTGGGAGAATAGTTGATTTCATGTTTGTATTCAATCCACCTTGCTGAGAAATGCTTATAAAGCCATGTTATTATGCAGACTTATTCCCCATATATTCATATGCTTAGTGTGGATTTTTGGGGTAGGATTAGTATACAAGACTTACAAAGCTCTTTGGATATATAATTTTTAAATGATTAGTAATCATTTCATAAATAGAACTGAAGCAATTTGTGATGAGATCTCCATTTTCCATATATTTTTTCCTCACCCCCTTGTTCCCGTGCTTCCTCCCCTGTCTTCTCCATCTAGATTAATGCAGCAACTATCAATCCTTCCCCTCATGCCAGGGTGCTAGGTGTATTTCTGGACTCTGACCTCTCCTTTTGGTCCCAAATCCAACCACTATCCAAATCTTGCCACCTTAACCTCTGTAACATCTTCAAAATACAAGCCTTCTTAGCCAACAACATCCTGAAACTTCTAGTTCACTTTCTGGTTTTCTCTCATCTTGACTATTGCAACTCCCTCCTCATTGGCCTACATTTACATAGGCTATCCCCCTTTAGTCCATCCTGAATGATACTGTCAGAGTAATCTAACTTACCAACCACTCATTGTCTACTATGCTTCTTTGCCAAACTTTCAATTGGCTTAAGATCGCCAAACTAATACATATTAAAATACTAATACAACAAACAAGGCCACCCACAACTTTGCCCTATCTATATCACCAACCTTGTCTCAAAAAATCAACCAAACCATCCTCTTTGCCCCACCAAAGACCCCTTGCTCTTGCTCCCTTTTCATCTCCAGGGTTTTTTTTTAGCCTGTCACATCCTCTGGCACCCAATTTATCCTACTCTGTCCACCTTTAGGCAACCCTTGAAAACTCATCTCTTCATGGAGGACTACTCCACCTCCACCTAATAAATTGTACTTTTACTTTCTCCATCAGCTCATCCTTCACAGTTATTACCTTTTGTATCACATGACCCTCCCTTTTACATTATACGCTCTCATGAACACAGTGCCCTGATCCATTTTGTATGGGGTTGTATTATATGGAATTGTATTTAATTGTACAAGTACTGTCTCATTTTATTTTGTAAAGTGGGAGAGCGGACCAAAGTCCAAGATTTCTAGCTGAAGTACTGGCAGAATAGATTCCTCTGAGTCCCAAGTGCTCCCTGGAGGCTTTTCAAGCTGGCAGCACAACCAATCCATAAATTTACAGCTATCAAAAGAGAGAAAAGATGACATTGGATCAGTTTCTTTGTGTATCTGCATTTCGGTATACTTATTGCAATTGGCATTCTTATCTTTTAAAACAATGGGACTCCATATTTTAAATTTCTGATATTTTGTTAGTTTACACCTCGATAAAATAAAATACAATCTAGAGATTCACACACAGCACCCATTATGTCCAATTTCCAGGCCCAAAGTGTAATACAGCCTAATACTAAGGAGGCACAGATGGCTGAGATTACAGTCATCTCTCTAAGACACGGACCCACCAGTCCAGTCGAGACAAAGAAAGCATTTGACTTTTCAGACATGTCTGTCCGGATAGATAAAGAACATGTTATTCTCTGCTTGCTCTGGTAGAAAATTCCTCTCCATAGTTGAAGATGTTGCATAAATGCTAAATCTTCCTGCTATGACTGATAAACACAGTGAAGAATATCGGCACAGAGGCACAGACTTTTGAACAGTTCATCACCTATTAGATAAGGGACAACTATCATAAAAATATTAATGTTTGCCCACACAATTAGTACATACAAATTTTATCAAACTAAAAATATATATGCAAACTTGTATTTACTTTATTTTTAGTACAATCTTCCACCTTCTCTAAATGGAGACTATGATTTCTGATTTCTACAAATGCTATTGTCTGACTGTGATGCTGACCCTTGTTTTTAAAACGATTTTTTTTTATGTTTCTTTAATTACTTCCCGGTTTCTTGCCTAAGAAAATGATGTCATACATCCGAGGAGTCATCTGAAAGGGGTTTTCTCAGTTAAGCAAGCCTTCCTGCCTGTATGCCTGAACTAAGGACAAATGGATTCCAGGAAGCCAATGCTAAACAAATCATCTGCGTGCCCTTACTCAAGATGCCCAGAAATGCTAATTCTGCTTTGCAGAAATGCAAAGTGATTTCTCAGCCAAATAAGGCACAGAGACATGGATGGATGGGGGAGTTTGCTCTGAATATAAAAGTGAATTAATTAGCATTTTTGGTTTTTGGTGATCAGTTGCAGTGTAGTCCTGCTTTAACAGCTTGTGTCGACAATGTCAGATTGACATCAATTTGAGATTCTTTAAAGATGATTCAGGATTCATTGACAAGTGCATCTGACCTGCAGCTGATCTTCTTCTGACACACCTTTGACCTGCTTCAAGTGGGTTTGGCATTCTCATAGTCTTTTATGGGGATATAAAAGCTCCTTGAAGGCAAAAAAGCTCATTGACACACCCCCTAAAATAGTTTAACCACTACCCATCCGGCCCATGTACATAAACGGCTGGATGGGGGGCAGTGCTAAAGCGGGTCGCCGTTTATAAACGGCCCCCACATTCACTGCCTGTGCATGCTCCTTGAGAGCATGCAGCACCACGATCTGGTGCCCGCTGTGTCCGGAGGAACACCGATCGCTGTACGGGACCTCTGTGTGAGGTCCCAATTCATGTGATCCCTGATTGGCCAATTAGTGATCACATCAATAGTAGTAAACAAGATGTCACTTCCTGACATCATTGCTTACTACTTGTCACATGGTACAAGGCTATTCACAACAGCCTTGTACCATGTGATAAGCTGTGACCAATCACAGCTCTCACAGTATTTCTCAATGGCTGCAAGAATGCAGCCAGAGAAAAGGAGAAAATTTATTGATTTTACAGCCTTTATGGGTGTAAAATCAATCAGTGTAAAATAAAAAAAAAATCTTCATCACCCCCCACAAGTAGTAGAGTGTCACTAAGGTGACACTGTACTGCTAGGGTGATGGTATGTTAACCACTTGAGCTCCTGAGGATTTATCCCCCTTAATGACCAGGTCTCTTTTTGCTACTCGGCACTGCACTAATTCAACTGATAATTGCGCGGGTCATGCAATGCTGCACCCAAACGAAATTTACGTCCTTTTTTTCCACACAAATAGAGCTTTCTTTTGGTGTAATTTGATCACCTGTGTGCTTTTTATTTTTCACGCTATAAACAAAAAAAGGCCAAAAATTTTGAAGAAAAACAATATTTTTTACTTTCAGCTATAAAAAAATATATAGTAAACTCAAAGTTGGTTATAAATTTAGGCCAAAATGTATTCTGCTACATGTTTTTGGTAAAAAAAATCCCAATAAGTGTATATTGATTGCTTTGTGTGGAAGTTATAGCGTCTACAAACTATGGTATAAATACTGCATTTACGCCATTTTTCTGCTATACAGCGCTGCGCTAGTTTAACGGACAATTGCGCGGTCATGCAATACGGTGCATAAATGAAATTTACATCCTTTTTTTTCCCCACAAATTGAGCTTTCTTTCGGTGGTATTTGATTGCCTGTGCGGTTTTTATTTTTTGCGCTATAAAAAAAAAAGGCTGACAATTTTGAGAAAAAAAAACAATATTTTGAACTTTTTGCTATAAAAACATGTCCAGTAAAAAAAAAATGCAAAAATCAAATTTTTAGTCATAAATTTCTGCCAAAATGCATTCTGTGACTTGTCTTTGCTAAAAAAAATCCCAATACATGTAAATTAATTGGTTTATGTGAAAGTTGTAGCGTTTACAATTGGCGGGAAAGATACTGGAATTTTTTTATTTTTTTTTATACTAATAATGGCGCGGATCAGCGACTTATGGCGGCAATCAGCAACATATGGCGGCGACCAGTGACTTATGGCAGGACTGCGGGACTGCGGCGGACATTTTGACACTAGGGGGGAACTGACTTGGGGTCACTGACATCCCCAGTGACACCAATACAGTGATCAGTGAAAAAAAACCACTGAAACTGTACTAATGTCACTGGGGAGGAAGGGGTTAACATTTTTAGAATTTGCTGTGTAAGGGGAGTGTTTTACTAGGGGGCGGGGGTGTGTACTGGACGGGGGGAGGGAGGGGGGGAGCTGATCGAGGGAGAGAAACTCTGCAGCTTCTCACAAGCTGTCAGAGAACTGACACAGAACAGGGCTGTGTGTAAACAATGCAGCCCTGCTCTGTGTCAGCGATCACCGTCAATCGCGGGAAAACGGCCGGTAAAAACCGGCCTTGACCCGGCGGCTGACACCCGCTGCTGACACCCGCGGGACAGGTAGGGCGCGCGCGCGCCCCCTACCTGTTTTGAAGGCAGCCGTTTTAAAATGTGCTTTTTGCCTACGAGTGCCGTCCTGCCGCCGTTTATATGCGGTGGCTGGGCGGCAAGTGGTTAACATAAATAAATAATATAAAAAAAAAAAATTAAATATAAATGTAAGAAAAATTTTTGAAAAATTATAATTTTTGGTTATAAACTAATTTCAGTTATTTTTTTTTTTTTACTAAAAAGATAACTGAATACATGTTGGCCAATATTTATGAAGAAAGATTATTTATTTGCAAAATTTTGTAAGAAAAACACTTTTTTTTTCAAAATGTTTGGAATTTTTCATTTATATAGGAAAAAAATTAAAATCCCAGTGGTGAATAAATACCACCAAAATAAAGTTTTATCTGTCTCCAAAAAAAAGGTAAAAAAATTCATATGGGTACAGTGTTGCACGACTGCGCAATTTTCATTCAAAGTGTGATAGCACTGAAAGCTGAAAATTGGCCTGACAGGAAGGGGGTGAAAGTGTCTGGACTTGAAGTGGTTAACTACCAAACAACCAGCATTTTAATAAGAGGTCAGCAATAGCATCCCATTGTTTCTCTTGGGAAAGGTTTGCTTTAATTCCCTTTTCACAACAACACACATCCACCTTAGCTTTGCTTCCAAGTTGCTCCTTTCTGCTTCTGAGAACAAAGAAATACCCAGTACTTCAGGCATGGGGAAGCATGTGGCACACTTCATGTGACAGCACTGGGCCAATCAACAAGCAACAGTGCTGTCATGTAGGAAGAGTTGTAGCTAAGAGAGTGCAACATTTTCTAATCCCAGCAACTTAATAGAGGGGCAGGGAACTGAAAAATGTGAGTGTGGGCTAATAAGAAGGAAGGGGGGTAAAAGATTAAACTAATCTGCAATGAGGGTGCTTTACTGGATTTTCTTTAATTAAAAGAACACATTCCTCATTAAAAAATAGTGTTTGCTGTTCTTTTTTGAAAAAAAAAAAAAAAAAAAAAACATGGCTTCTTTAGGTCTTTTCTACAACATTCAGTGGATTGAAAGACCCTTGCAATCACTGCAACACCCCTGCCTGTCATGCCTAATGTTAGTGCTAATTCACGCCAGAATCTGGAAGGCTGACCTTCATTTGTGGGCATTATTGTTCTGCCATAAACAGCACATTTGCTATGAGTCTGTGTGTTGTTCTAAAAAAAAAGTTATAACAGGTCTTATCAACTTTCTATAATGCTTTCAGATAATTTTTTGTTAAATATAGTACTTTCAGTGAATATATTTAAAACACAAGTGGGATTATCCCATGTATGTTACAATATTCATATATCAGTTGCACTATGAATACACATTGTAATAAGCTGATAATTATATTATCTCACTTTTTTATAAATGTATTCACTGACAAATTTATCTGAAAGTATTATATTACGTTGACATGCTTCTTTGTTCATTTACATAACAGGCAAACACATACATAGTGAATGTGCAGGTATTGAGCGGAAATGACTGCCCGCAATGAAAGAATGGCCTCACTTACTATACAGAGCATGTACTGATAGGCAAGTGCTATGTAGGTTACCTGACCTTCCACCTGCCAGCAACAGTGATCTTCTCCAATTTGCAGGAAGCTAGGAGAGAAACTAAAGAAGCCTTTCTAAACCAAGGTTCTGTGTAACTCTAGGGTTCCTTCATAGCTTGCTAGGGGTTTCTGAGCAATAAGGACTTTATGACTCATGGGTCAGTTACCACCGAACCAATGATCCTTTTAGCTACTTGTAAGGGGGATTAATCCCAATTACCACAAATGTAAGAAGAATTCTTCTCAGTGACCATCATATTAATGTCCTGTGAGGTGTAGATATAGTAATTATTGGAAAGGGTTCATTGAGCCTATAAATTTATCTCAAGGGTTCCTCCATGTTAAAAAGGTTGAGAAAGATTGACTTAAAGGGACTCCGAGCCTCAGCTCTTCTCATGCAGTATGCATTCTTCCTGAATGGTTACCAACTTATCTATTCCCTTTATTAAGAGCAAAAATGGATCAACCATTTTGTTGAGGATGAAAGAGGAACATACAGAAATCACATATTAATTTAATCCATGTCCTGTCACCATCACTCCTCTTCTGCTTGAACATGCACATAGTAAGCACTAAGAATATGGGAAAGTGGTGCTCATTAGGGACCTATTCCTTTTCTCCCAGCTGCTGTATGTACAGGTGAAACTCAAAAAAAATTAGAATATCGTGCAAAAGTTCATTTATTTCAGTAATGCAACTTAAAAGGTGAAACTAATATATGAGATAGACTCATTACATACAAAGCAAGATAGTTCAAGCACCTTTTTCTTCCACACGTTTCCCTTCCACATAACTTTCTATTTATGTGCTTTGATACAGCACTTTGGGAACATCCAACTTCTTTTGCAATTACCTTTTGAGGCTTTCCCTATTATTTCCCTTTTATGGCTTAATTAGCGGATTACAGTGGGACACTTTGGGCCTAGAATATTGCACCTTTTCACAATATTCTAATTTTCTGAGATTGTGGATTTGGGGTTTTCATGAGCTGTAAGCCATAATCATCACATTTATGACAAATCACGGCTTGAACTATCTTGATTTGCATGTAATGAGTCTATCTCATATATTAGTTTCACCTTTTAAGTTGCATTACTGAAATAAATGAACTTTTACACGATATTCTAATTTTTCAAGTTTCACCTGTAGCTGGGCATTACCCTATTGGCTGAAGGTTCAACTTTCATTTGACATAAAAATTGTACAGGTTGTTTTCCTATGTGCAGTAATTCAACATTCTATAAGAATGAGCTCAAGGTTCGGTCAGCACACAAGTTCAGAGCAAATTTTGACTGTTGAGGTGGTTTTTTGTCCAAACGCCAAATTTGCAACCTGTTAGGTAGAAGCCAAATATCATATAAATATAGTAGTAGTATTTCTACTGCTACTATCTATGACGGCTTCTTATCTGTCAATGGTTGCTGGTCATATTTGGTCTTTGACGTCACCCAGAAGACCACTTAGTCTTTGTTCAATTTTAGCAATTGGGGGCCTCAGGAGATGTCATTCAGCATGAGTCAGTGACAAGTGTGTCAGTGGGATTTTTTTTTTTTGGTGCTCATTCAACATGATTGACATCAACGTGATAGACAATGGATGTACAGTGTGGGACTTTTTCTTTTTTTAATAAAGAACATAAATGACTTGCCAAAAACTGTGTAAGTGTCTACATTTACTGTCTACTTTTTTATGTGAATGAGTAGGGATACTAATGTATGTACCCCTTACTCATTTACATCAGGCCAGTACCTGGGTGGCCCCTTATTGTTAAATAACTAGATTCAATAATTGTAAAGTAGGACCACATGCAAAAAACTGCATGGGGTCCCCCTAAATTATATCTATAAAAGAATGATCTGGTGTGTATTTTTTAGGGGAACCGCCTTGTCAGTATTTTATTCCCTTTTGTGTGGGAGGTCCCCCATTAATGCTTATACCAGACCCTCACCTAGGATAAGGGTCTGGTGTAGATTAAAGGAATCATCAGTCTTAGTTTTATAAAGAAGGTAAAAGGTTGAAGTTGTCATTTACCGGA